TGAACAAAATTAAAGGTATTGGGCGAATTCGAAGTGTTCGTGTAGGAGATTTATGAAAATTTTATAAACTGCCCCCAACTGAGGCTGCAAAAGCGTAATGTTGTTGCTTAGAGGTGAAGTTTGTGTGCCTGAATGACGAGTGCGATGAGTTCTAACAGTATCTTTTGGCCTTATATGGAGCTGTTGCGTTTCAGTGTATCAGTTAATACGCAGGAATGAACCGCCTGAAACTGCTGGCCAGCTGCAAAACGATTGCTAGGACATTAGCGCCACAAAGGGTGAGTCTCGAACTAAATTCATTTAAAATGCAAATTTCTTAATTTGCGCTTATTATTCAATCAATCACGTGCTAGGGCTCTCTAACACTTGCGCAGTTGTTACAGCTGTTGTCGTTTCATTGTCGCGTTTGCTCTTGCCATTAATGCAGTTGGCAACTTTTCCATTCTTCTTCAGTTTGTGCTTCCCTCATTCACAGAATTCCATATAGCGATTCAGATAACTCTGCATAAATTGTTAGTGACGAAAGATTTTGTTCGATTCAACTTTTTTATTTTGGCAACTTTTCATTCAAAAAACTGCCAGTTTTGCAGAAACTACATATACCCTGTGTTAAAAATGCCATGCTTTTTAACAACATTGATATATACTCAAATCTTATAAATTCACATGCATTATGTCAGCTGTGAAAAACATCGGCGTGTAAGGTGTATTGAATTATATAATGTCCAGGAGATGAGAAGCAAGAAATTTTAGCATTAGTGGAAAAAGCTAACGCAAATGATGTGCTTCCAGAATGCTACTTCACTTATCGGTCGTTTGAGTCACGTTTCTATTGCAACTTCCGATATCGACAAAGCCTCGGCTTTCTACAAAAACCTGGGCGCTAAAGTTAGCGAAAAAGTGGTAAGTTCCAAGTATCTCCACAATGGTACCATTCTGTTTCATTTTTCGGCAGAAACAAATTAAGTTTTTTTTTTTTGACAGATTTGTAGGAATTTGCGAAGAAAGCCAATCTGGCCAAGCCAACTGATTCATCATAGACAAAAATTTCAACTTTTTTTTACGCCCAATCAACTACAGTTTCATTGGTTAGGCCTTGCCAGTGCATTTGTCTCAAAACTGCAGCAGACTGACCATCAGTAAGTGTTTCTGCCGAGAGTACTGTAGGGATAAAACTCAAATCAAGAATCAGTTCGGGAAAGTAATTTGCCAAATTCGGAGCTCATGCAAAAGATTTCAGGCACACGAAGAGTACGGCGTTTATACAGCATACGTTGAGCTACCAAATACAAAACTGGAGCTGTTTTGTCCATTGAAAGAGAAAATCTGGAGCAGTTTTATCCAAGGATTTCTGGAGAGAGACAAAATGAATGGTATCCACCACATTTGCTTGCAGGTGAAGGATATCAATCAGGTAAAAATACACGGCGCTTCTGATTGGAATAATAAAGCCTAAATCCGCTTAAAAGGGACAAAATTTCCGGAAATGAAAACTCCAAACCTTCCTCGCCTGTGTTACTCAACTAACGCTAATATTGTTACTTCCAGTAGCTTTAGAATTGTCGCGCAAGAAAAACACCTGTGATTTTTTTTTTGACGATAATTATCATTTTGTGTATCGTAGATTTTTCATTGGATCCCAAAAAAAGACTGCTGTCATGGGCTGACGGACAAAGGCTTAGGAATATGAAAGCACAATTGAGTTTGCTGCCGTGTCAAAACACGAAAAGTGATAGATAAAATCTGTTCTCGAATGTTGTATTTTGTTCTTTTGTGTGTATATGTAAAAATGTATAAAAAGGGATCAAGGATTTTAAACTCCTGAGGTAGGAAAAGTGGTTATTCGAAAAATAAGGAGCGCTGAAGTGCGGCGGCGACTGGAAGAGGCTTCTGGAGGATTGCGAAGTCGAAAGGTGGGTTTAGTGAGAAAATAAGACTGTTGACGGCCGTCAGGGGCTGACGAAGGGAATCTTTTGTGGAGTGATTGCGATTTGGAATTGAAAGGTGTATTATTTAAGTTATGCGAAGGTTGTGTTTTTGAGTTTGGTGTGAAAATAAGAAATTTATCTTTCCACGATTTGATCAGAAGTGTAATTCAAAAGATCAAAATTTGCCACCCTGAAAAAACTTTTTATCTGGAAATTCGCTGGTTTTGAGCAACAACAGCTCGAAACAGCTAACGCCTTGCCGAGTGGTTTTGCCCGGAAAACCATTGAACTGATTATCCCTTCGGAAGGCAAAATGTGTTCATTAGAATCGCCAGCAGGCTGACCATCAGGCAATGTAGCACTGGTCAGAGCAACTGGGAAGTTGTCAGCCGCACAGGGTGGAGAGCCAGTTTTAAATTATAGCTGATCAAAATACCAAAGTAACGTCTAGGATTACGAAATATAATCACGAAAACGATCTGAGATCTTTATCACATTCCCATAATAGCTTATTACGTGGCTGGTCTTTGAATGGCATCCAAACG